GAAGAACCCGTCCAGAGGACCTATACTATTTTTTTCTTTTTGATTTTTTTACCTGGATTACTGAGATGCATCAGGACTCTACTCTACCCACTTACATCACAAAAAACGAGGAAAGAAAAGTCTAGGCACCAGACACAGACATAATACTTTTACTTTGTTAATAAATCAGTTCTTTGTATAAAAGCTTGTTTTTGTAGTTGTTTTTAATGATTTCCCCCTCTCTGAGCCTGATGTAGAATGTATAGATCATAAATACTCGGTAAAAACCAAAAACGTGTAACTCCAGGCCAAACATGGCTGATGATATCCGTCGTCACAGACGGACATATGGACAAAGAGCATTTATGTCGCCCGCCTCGGCGACAGGGTACATATATTGTTTCTTGTAATATTGGAAGTTTTACCCTAAATAGACTCCAACTTAGATGTGAAAAAGAATGATTTAAAAGCACGATGGATCACTAAACACTGCGACGTAGCTAAGAATGTAGCTAATGCTACATCCAACAACGTGGTTAGCTAACCCCAACACAAACAACGTCAATTATAGCTGCATTACGAGCATGTGTTCCCCAAGACAAACACTGTATAAACAGTATTCTAGATGTGAAAAAGAATGATTTAAATGGATGATGGATCAACTTCAGTATAATCCTATACTCACCGCGGCTCAGCAGATGCTACCGCAGAAGCTAACTTAGCAGCTAAGAATTTAGCTAACGCTACATCCAACAACGTGGAGTTAGCTAACGCCAAAACAAAAAAAAAACTTCAATAACTGCATTACGAGCATGTGTTCCACAAGACAAACACTGTATAAACAGCATTACTCTAAAAACACACAGTACAAAGATCATACCGGAGATAGCTAAGCTAGCACATCAAGCTAACAAAAGCACACGGCATAACGCTATCAAAACAAGCTTTTATTATTTATAACCTACCGATTTGGTTTGAGCATCGCTTCCGTAAAGAGAAGGAACAGAACCCTCGATCAGGCGAAGTCTCTCGGAAAAACCTTCCTGAAACTGACGGAGGTTGCTGAAGCATTCATCCAAAAAGTGTTTGCCGCAAACAAGAAGCGCTTTCCCCACAGTTGCGGGTAGATTTCCTCGAAAAATAAAGTTTAACCAGGCGCTTCGAAGAGGCTCAGATGCTGGCAGTCTGTGTAGAGAATCATGTTGGTCCACACACCCAAGAACCGAACATTTCTGAACTTGCACCTTAGGCATGACGATATGAAACTACAAAACCACTGCGAGGGGGAAAAAATGGCGGACTATGAAATCTAGTTGGCCGGAAATACATCAATCATACCATAAATGGCAGTTCCGAAGAAAAAAGTGTGACGAAAAAACAATGAGACGAAATAAGCAAGACTAGTTTTAAACTGAACAATTTGACCCCAAAAATAATATAAAAATATCTTTGCAGTAACTGGAAAGAATAAATTTAACTTTTCTACACTCATAGACACTATATTTGCACAAAAAATAGTTTATAAACGCAAAAAAGTGAATTTAGCGTGTAAACATTTTCTTTCCTCAGGCTCCCTGTTGGAATCCATGCACCCTCAAACAGACCGGTCACAAACCAACATGATGGCTAAACGTAGCATGTTGTACTAATGCGACATCCTGATGCATCTCAGTAATCCAGGTTAATAAATCAAAAAGAAAAAAAATTGTATAGGTCTTCGTTTCGTCTCTCCTCCAAGAGACTTCTTCAGTCTGAGAGTTTCAGGCTAAATTCAGGCTTTTAAGCCCTGCCTCCATGTGACTGATACTCACATCACATGGCTATCGTTGACACCTAATTAACACCTATTGTTAACTGATACTGGCAATAGTAGTACTGTAGGAGGGGGACAACTGAAAACGGAGGCCTCCAACTCTGTTTAAT